AAAAAAAAAAAAAAAAAAAAAGAATAGGAAAATCTATGAACATAAAGAGTAGCTCGGTGCTTGCCTTGATGGGGGGTTATAGCTGGTGGGTAGAGTGTTTTGTTCTTGGATAACAAAAATGATCTACATTTGATTGTGGTCATGGTTGTACAACTTTGTCAATGTGCTGACATCTACTGAATCTTACACTGTAAGCTGGTAAATTGTGTGGTATGCGAATTCTGGTTCAATAAAGCTGCCTTTAAGTTTTTTAAAAAGAAAAGCCATTATGGCCTAAGGAACTAGAGTCAGCTACAATATGGGGGTGAAGTCAAAAGCCCCCGCTTCCCTCTAGGCCGTTGTCATGGTGAGGTAGGTGTGGCCTGTGCCTCCAGGCACGTGAGACTGCTGTGGAAGTGAAGTGGCCACAGACCTCCAAGTGCCGGCGGGGTGCTCCGCATGGGCACTGTCTCACAGGCAGGGCTGGGAACTGCATTTCACGCCAAGGCAAAGACCCTGGGGACGGTTAACAAGAGAGTGGAAGAGCTTCGAGTTAGCAGAGGCTGATACGGTTCACTGAGAACCATGCTCAGTAAGTGTAATTAAAGTTAATGAGAAATCGTTGGCTTAAAACACAAAAACAGAATAAACAGTCAAAAGAATTTTTGTAAAAGAAAATGTGGAGAACAGGAGATGGGTCCTGGAGAAGCTGTTATTTTGACAGCAGTGTCAGTTCTGACTGAGAATAGTTCCCCCTGAGAAAAAAGACTGGGAAGAGGTGGGGGGGCGAGTCACTTACAAGAACGAGTCTGTCTGTATTGATTCTACTAGCTTTGACCTATGAGTGGATAGACGGAAGCCCTAGCATTCTTATCTTCCAAGTTTCCCTGGACTGAAGTTTTCTCATCTTGGCAAAGAGAAATCCTAAGTAAGCTTGCGTGTCTAATAACCTATTCTCCCATTTTGGATTCTCAGCATTGTTAGGGGTTCAGTTGTGTCTCCCTGATACTCATATGTTGAAGTCCTAACCCCCAGTAGCACAGAATGTGACCTCATTTGGAGCTAGAGTCTGAACAAATTAATCAAGTTACAATGAAGATATCAGGGTGAGCCCTAATCCAATGCGGTTGGGGGGAACTTAGAGTCAGACATGCACACAGGAGCAGCACGTGAATCTCAAGGCACAGATCCTGGTGATGTGTGTGAAGCCACAGAATATCAAGGAGACCCACAAAACCACCAACAGAGGCCTGAAAAACACCCCCTCTCGCACCCCTCAGAAGGCACCGATGGTGCCAGCCCCTTAATCTTGGACATTTTCCCTCTGAAAGTAGGAGACATAACTTTTTACTGTTTGAGCCACCATTCTGTGGTGTTCTGTTGGAGCAGCCCTGGCAAACTCGCACAAGTACATTTGTGAGATGAGACAGGAACACATCTGTACATTTCCAATGGCCTGATGTCTTTCCAACAACAGCAAAAAAAAAAACCCAGAATGACCTGATGGTCAAATTATTGATTCCTCAAGTAAGAACCTGTGAAGGTTGCACCAACAGTTTTGTACATAAACACATTCACAAAAGAGCCCTTGACATGCCTCTGTATTTGTAGGTAGCAGCCCCTTGTAACTTGGACATTGTGTTTATTTTTCTCATTTCTGTTACATCCAAAACACTACTGGGCACATCCTGGTGTTCAATCAATACACTGATGATTGTGCCTGTAAA